ATTTTTAGTTTCGTTGCCAACCTTAAACTAGCTATTAATGCCTCATATTCTACCTTATTGTTAGATGCTCTGAACTTAAATCTCAAGACATATAGATATTATAGTCTTTCTGGGCTGATTAGAATAAGGCCAACTCTTTCGCTATTATTCATGGTCGATCCATCAATATAAAGTTTTTTTGTTTAGGGTTTTCTCTTTTTTCTTGGGTCATTTTTTAATTTTTCTATATAGCTGTAGCTAATTTCTAGCCCTATTAATACTTTACTCATAAAATACATCAATTTTTGCTGCCCTTTTTTCCTTTTAGACCAAAATCAAACTGATGGCTTGGTCTACAGTAGCTAAGTATAGATATAGTTTGTTGAACCTCAGCTTAGATAGAATGGGTAGAAAGGATAAGAACTCTTTGAGTTCTTCAAATGCTTTTTGACATTGAGGAATACACCTGAAGTCAAAGATGTTTTTGAGAATTTTGAAGAATGGCAAACATCATTCTATTGACCTGGACATGAATCGACTCAAGGTGACTATTCTACCAGTTAACCTTTATACTTATTTTATCGAGGTCTGTGCCTTCATGTTTAAGATTACTTGAACCTTTTCTGGGTTCACCCCTGCCCCTCTTATGTTGATCATGTAATCGAAGAATTTATCCGACGTGACCTCAAAGACACATTTGCTTAAGTTAAATCTTATATTATACTTTCTCAAGGTGTTAAAAGTCTCTTGAAGGTCTTTCAGGTGCTCGATCAAGCTCTTGCTTTTGACTATCATGTTATCCATATATACTTTCAAGTTATGACTAATTTGATTTTCAAATACCTTATTTACCAGCCTTTAGTAGGTCGCCCTTGTATTTTTTAATCAGAAAGGCATCACCTTGTAACAGTAAAGACCTTTTTTGGTAATAAAGGCTATCATTTTCTTGTCATCTTTTAGCATTTTGATTTAATTATAACCAGAATAGACATTTATAAAGTTAAGGAAGCCATGCTCGGCACTATCATTTACTAGTCGATCCATGCTAAAGAGAGAAAAGTTATCTCTTAGGCATGCTTTGTTTAGGTTGATAAAGTCAATTCACATCTTTCATTTCTTGTTGTGCTTTTTGATCATGACTACGTTGGTTATCCATTTAGGGTAGTAGACTTACATGATAAAACCTGCTTGCAGTAATTTGTCAACCTTTTTTTCGATGGCCCTTTATCTTTCTAAGGCAATTTTTTTTTTTCAAAGTGGTTTTACCTCAATATTAGTATGTAGCCTATAAAGCATTACTTTAATATTAATTCCAAACATATCGAATGGTATCCAAGCAAACAGGTTGACATTATCTCTCAAAAGTTGAATTAACTAATCTTTATGTTGAAGTTTGGTTTCGATCTATATATGTTTTACAGAGGCGCTATCCTAGAATGAAATTGCTACGAGATCCTCTATCAATTCAGGTTGATTTCATCCGAGTTCGATCATTGATCAATTTTTTTTGTTCGATTAAGTTTGGATCATTTCTTATGAAAATAGATCCCGACGTGATAATCAATGTATTATTGATGACTTGCTAAATATATATATATATATATGTAGTGAAATTAATATGTAATTTTCATTTCATACTATATTTTGCCCAACATATTAGTTTTATCCAAATGACATGTAGTTATTCACGTCGATTAAAAGCTCAATCCTCTTTAGAATTACCTTAAAAAATTTTAAAAATAGAATAAAAAATTTCTTTTTGTTAGAGTTTAAAAGCTCGAAGTGGCTTAAGAATACACTTTTGTCAGGTTAGTCTTACATTCTATGTTCTTGCTTATGGCTTTTTGTTTCTTGTCGACTTTGGCTGCTTGCCCTTTCTCAATATTTTTATTCTCAGATGAACTGCTAGTTTGTTTCCCAGTCTTTTCTTTCATTGTTGTGACATAACACTATCATACCATGGACTGGTCTCTCTTGACCTTTCCAACCTCATTAGGTGTTAGAAATTTCACTTTGAAATAGGGAGTTGAGCCTTTTAGCCACATAACAGATTGACTAAGTCGACCAAATATCATGTTGTAAGCTGATGGGACATCGACAACCATAAATTCTATGATCGAGGTGATAGTCTTCGATTCTATCCCCAATGAAATCGATAGCTTGATGGTTTTTTTCATCGATACCTGCTCATTCCCAAATCTTACTAATGTTATGATGATCAGTGGTAATTGATCTTCATTAATTCCCATATACTTCATAGTATTATAATACATGACGTCGATCAAGCTCTCATTATCAAATAGGATTCTCTTGACTACATAGTTGTATACTACGATCATGATCATTATAGCATCATTATATAGGTGTTGGATTCCTTTTAATTCTTTTAGGTCGAATGAGATCAATTCGTCTTTCAAGTCTTTTTCTCTCTTTGTTGAGATGTCTACGACCATGACCATGCCTAGATTGAATTTTTTTTATCGAGGTAAAGTTACCTTAAGTGATCACATCAATCACCTCTCTTCAAACTTTTTTTCTTCCATTTTTGATCTTCTTTCTCTATCCCAGATGTGCTCTCTTCAATCTTGTCTGTAGTCTGTTCTGGGTTAGCTCTGTCTTCGTTATTTTACAAACCTCCCCAGCTTCCTTATCCTTATCAGAACTTTGATCTCATTTTTTAGGTTGATGCAATCTTCGATATTGTGGCCAATGTCTCTATGAAAGGTATATTTTTTGGTCGGATCCCTCTTTTTATTTTATCTCAGTGATTTCCACCATCTGAGGTCGAGATTTCTTTCAATTTACATCAGAATCCTCTTTCGGGAGGTATTCAGTGCAATGTAGTTCCTTTTTTTATTGGGGCTTTTAGCCCTATATCGTCTCCTTCTTGGGAAAAGATCGTAAAAATCCTTGCTTTTTTTACAATCGATGAGGGGGTATGAGTCTTTCTCACCTCAATTGTTTTTCATTGTAGCTTTGGCATTTATATATTTTTAGCTATCAGTAAGACGTCAGCTAGGGTTTTAGGTGGTTCTAGCGACAAGGTTAACTTTAGATGGTAATCTTTGTCATTAAATCCACTTGTCATGAGGGCTATAGTGATCGTTTGCTCCAAGTCTTTAACCTATAGCGCTTCTGCATTAAAATGCATGACATAACTCTTCAAAGACTCATTGTGACCTTGCTGGATTGACATCAAACTCAAAGTCATCTTCTTCGCTCTTCAACTACTTACAAATTTAGACAAGAATGAGTAGTTTAGCTTTTTGAATGTTGTAATTGACCTCGGTTTCGAGCTAGTGTACTAGGACCACGCTATGCCTTTTAGAGTGGTAGCCAGGCCTTTGCACATTAGAGCTTCATTTGCACTTTACATCATCATGTTAGTCCTATAAAGTTTTAAATGATCAAAAGGGTCAGAAGTATCGTCATAGGTTTCCAAGATCGACATTTTAAATCCTTTCGGAGGTATGGCTCTATCAATTTCTTCAATGAAAGGCGAGGTCTCTAGGAACTTGAGAGTGTCCTCAAATGCCATTGCTTTTGTTTTCAGTTCTTTCTCCATGGTTTGCATCCGACCTTTCAAATCCTTATTCGGTTGGGGTTCAGGGTTCGTCTATTTAGATTTTTGAGTTACGACATGTGTTGAGTTGTGGCTGGGGTAATGGCAAATCAGAGTGTTATGCTCCTCTTCTCTAGACGTCGAGAAGGCTTCAAGTTCTTCATAGCTTGGTTATTTTACTGCGGCTTCTCAACCAGAGGTGATTAAGTTAGGTACTTTTGAAATTTGTGATGGGGTTATGGTCCACAACATCTGTTTAAAGGCTTAGATAAGGCTTGAAATTGTTCCATGGTGGGGTTGTTTGTAATGGCAGGGGTCATTCTGAGTGCTAATTGTTATGCATTTCTGTTCTAGCCGGGATGGCCATCTCTTCTTCCTCTAAAGTTCTATTAATTGGTGGCATCGTCTTGTGCTCAGCTAGTGGATGGAAAGACCCCCTATTTGGTGCGCCAAATGTTTGTACCAAATTCCGAACCAAACTCCGATCTTAGAGTATTATTGGAAAGACAGAAGATAAGAACAATTAGAAACAAAGGTAAAGAGTGTTCCTTGCACTTGCATTCCGATGCGCAAGTCAGAATAGATAAGGTCAGAATGAGAGAAATAAGTGTAGATTGAACTTGCCTCAATGTTTGCCTAGATCTTCATATTTATAGATAAAAACGATAAAGAACATTAGGGGACAATAAAGACAATGCCGAGCTGATATGGCACTGACTGTGTCAAACCAACCTGACTTGTCAAGTCAGCACAAATGTCGAAATTACCTTTTCTTGTCTACTAAAGACTTCTAATAGGGAAAAAAACCACTATACCTTTTTTACTATTAAATGCCCCCAACAATTAAGATCAAAAACATCAATTTACCTGAAATCGAAAAAGTTATGAGCAAGGAGAATGTAGGGCAAGAAGATTTTATTTTGTTATAAATTAGAATGGGTATAAAAATGAGAAGCAAATTGTTCAAGATAAATTGAAAAGTCTAAAGCAGACTGAGGTGAGCAAGTCTTTCCCTTCATTAGTGATCCATAAGCCACATCAGAAAATGAATGGATCCATAATTCGATATATTATGTCCCAAAGACGAGCCCTTCCACTCAAGAGGTTTAGGGTCTATCCTAAACATGAAGAATAATTTGAATATTGAAAGACTTAAATCTTGATTGATCAATACGTATGTGCATATAAATACAAGTTACAAGTTCTACGAATACAAACTTGAGATTTCAAGTTCAACTTATCGACAGCAGTTGCATCTGGCAGCTTTGAGGAGATGATGAACTCATTGGGATATTGGATCATTATTTGTGGGTACTAATCAAGGAAGCTTCATAATATGCACAGCCTTTGAATTTCAATGCTATTCTGCCCAGCAAATATTCCTGCATTATATTGGCTTTCCTGAAGCATTTTCAATACTGGAACACGAAATTTATTGGATATGGGAGCAGAGAGAAAATAATTCTTAGACAAACCAATTATATATGTGAATAGTTTAAGAGTTTCCAAATACCAATGACAAACATTCTTCGTTCAGAGGAAAAAAAAGAGGAAAGAACCAGAATTAACTGCAATAGGATAATGTGAGCCCAGAGCTTCATATCAGCTTCACCAGATTCTGTTTATTCAAGGATTTACACATACACTATGTTGTGTCAGAAAACGATTCTGCACATAGCTTTATGAAGCAAGGACTAATTCAGAGTTGGCAAAGCAAAGAAGGGAATTCCTCAAATGGAACAGTTAAACTACAAACTGTTCAACGAGCACGATCCTTCAACACTTCAAGATCCATCTCTGTAGGGTCAGTAGCCTGAATCTCATAGTGGATACCATCCAGTTCCCTTCTAAGCCTGTCTTTTGAAGTGGCATAGAGCATCTTTGCACGGATTCGGGAGGATGAAGGGGACCTGATCAACAAAACCCAATTGTTAACTAAGAAGACCTGATGGGCAACTTCTTTAATGTGATAAATGCCAGAGGAGTGCCATTGCCACATGATAACAATAATAACAATGTCATGTACATAAATGACAAAAAACAAACAACCATTTTTTATCCCTAGACATGTTAGGATTATGGCCCTATTTTCATAAAACGATGATAAAACAAATGCAAAGAAAAAATTGAACACATGAAATTTATAATGGTTCATTCTCAACAGGAAAGCTGCATCCACTTGGTAGTCGCTTGAGTAGTTTTCACTATGAAGAAAAGAGAAATTACAATCGCAATAATAAACCCTTAAACTACGGGCCTTTTAAATATTAGCATAATCAGGATGATTGAGTTGCATATACAAAAAACCCAAAATACATTTACTTAATATTATTATTTCATCTAAAATTTTGTTCAAGGAGTTCATAGGAACAATCAGTGTCAAGGTAGTAATTAAGTTTCACACAACAAGTGAAACCAAAGGCTCAAAAGAGGAACCTTCTTGCCTAAAAGGTAAAAAACTAAGACAGCACAATAAGATGCCCAATTATGGTAAGGTTAAGAAAGTTTAATCAAGCAAAACATGGGCCAAATACTGTTCAGCATTTTATCTCTTTCAGCTGCATTCATTCATAAATGCTGCCATGGATAGTACACAGGCAACCCCTATTACTCCATTTTACTCCTTTCTAGCTGCAGGGCAACCAATTTCACATAAAACTTTAATGGTTCTCTAATATGCATAAAGAACAAAAAAGGGGTACCATACAGACATATGCACTCAAAATCATTTGCAAAAATGAAAAGAATGATCAGAATCTGTGAAGCATAATCTACATGAAGATAACAATAATATAGCAACATAGGCAAAGGCATTGAAAAGGGAATGTGGACAAAAATTTTCTATCAAACTAAAGTACTAAACAATTGACAGGTATCCCACATCTTCATGGAGGTCAAAGCCAATCCATCATGTTGATGCTAAAATGCGATAAACAATTGAAAATTGTCACTTGAGTTGTATAACTAGATAAGATGTCGAGTAAACGACCTGTCAACTAAGAAGCAGTAACTCCCATCAAATATGTTAAATTGCAACATAAAGACAACTAAAGGCAAAAGCTAACCATGCAATGAAGAAAATCTTGCTCTTTTGACAATTCTCAGAAGTAACAAAATCAAAGTCATAGACAGCATATCGGCAATCATTCTCGGGCAGAGATGCAGTGAAGTCATCATAGCCCTCAGCAGGGCCACCAGTTTTCTCAACTAGGACCTCTCTTTTCTTCTCATCTATCTTAAATATCACATATCGGTAAACTTTCTTCCTTTGCAGTTGCAGAAAAGTATCCTTGGTGTGATCAGCAACGCCCATGCCAGATGTAGCATTTGGCTGGAAACAGTAGCAGATTGTTAGACACTTATTTGATTGCTAACTTAATCAAAGCTATCGAGTTCATCTCAGGTATAGAATCAAAGTTTTCATATTTTTCAAGAGATGACCACAAATGGACTGACATATTCATTATTTTAGGAGAATAAAGTTCTTGAATGAGTAATTATCTCCAACAAACAGTGCCAAATTCAAAACACAAGGTTGAAACATATGAAGTAATTCAGAATTTTGAAAACCAAACAACATATAGAGCACATGCAATAGCAGAAACTCAAGTTAACATGTACAATAAGCTCGTTGGTCCCCAAGAATATCAAAGATAGCCTCAGAAGTCAGAACCCAAACTATTGGTACATCAATTGCTGAAGCTGATCCATCAAAAGCAGAAAAAGAAAAGAAAAAAAAAAGGGCATTTCCTTGGTTATATTTACTTCCACATCAAATCATTTCTAACACCAAATTGTAATGTTTTGTTTTGAACAAGAAGCAAAATGAAAACCCTTTATCTAGTAAAACGCATTCTTGTTGCTAGTTAGAACAGAGATCAGCCAAAGAACTAGCAAATTAAACATTTTTAGACAACTCAAAAGGAATTAAAAAAAAAAAACCCATGAAACCGAAAGAAGGAAAGCAAATAGACTGAGAGATACCCGACTGAGTCCTCTAAACGACATGGCAGCGGAAAGAAGTGTTGGATAAAAAAACTGAGAAAGAAGGAAATAAGGAGTAACCCTGGCTTATTAACAAGAGGCACAGGCAGAGTGATACATGAAAGAGAGTGGCGGAACTTATACTAATAACATGGGAAAAAACGGTAGGTTCGCAATAAAGAAAAAAATTAAAAAAAAAAAAAAACATTCATAATATATGTCCACTACTTTAGAAAAAGAAAAAATTAATGCTACCTTTGGCTTTATTATTATTTTTTAAAATTTTTGTGAGGTGAGAAAGAGTAATTGTAAGATTGGCTTTTTCAGAACAACTATATATGTTTTTTACAAAGACAATGAGAATAAAAAAAATATTATAAGTATTAAAATTTGAGTTTTTAATTTATTAAATATATGTAAAAAAATTATAAATGTTTGAATTTTAATTTTAAATTTATTAAATGTTATTTTTTAAATTGATTCTTTTTTCTCTAAATTACATTTTTTTAATATATAAAATTTTTATTTTTTATATTTTAAAATTATTTTTATGATTTTTTTGACATTAAAAATTGTCAAATTTTAATTTTATTAAAAAAATTTAAATTTAAATATTAAATATATTTAAATAAAATTTTTTAAAAATATTGTAAAAGTTAATATATGATAAATATTTTGAAAGGAAGAATAAATAAATAAATTGAGAACAAATTTAAATTCATAAATAATGCTATCTTTTTAAATATAAATAAAGCAATGAAAACCTAATACTAGTATTTTAGAAAGAAAATAGTCGAAAAATGTAAAATAGTTGACAAAAGAAAAACAAAGTTGAAAATGACATAGGAATCTTCCGAAAATAATAAAAGAAGAAAAAAACAAAAAAAGAAAAGTGGGGCGGTGCGTAGGGTTAACGCTTGCAATTTGGATCCTTTACGGATTGGACCAGCGGGGAAAGCCGAAAGTAAATCTTCAAAAAAGTCTCCTTTTTCTTTTATTAATAATCTCTAAATAAAATTTTCATTTTGACCTAAAATAAAATCAAAAATCTCAGCCGTCCATGGGGCCCCTTTAGATCATCGTCATCCATTCAACTTCTCTTCTTCTTCTTCTTCTAGTCGCCGCGTATCCATCTTTTTTTCTTGTAATTACAGTTTTATACAAGAAAAAAATCCAAAGTAAACCCGACCCAATAACCCAACTTCGCCCAGTCCGGCCCAAACGACAAACTGATGGAGACAATTCGGACCTTTTGAAAACGGGGGCATTCCTCAACGTTTAACTTTCGGAAACGAAATGGATCCGATCCGACTCCGATGAAGGTCTCTTCTACTTAGGTTTTAGGGTTCTAATCATCTCAAAATTTTCGCGCGAAAATATGGATCACGACGGTAGCCATTACGATCACATCTTTTAAATTCGATTTTTGAGTTTCTATTGCCTTTTTTATAAGAGAAGAATTGAAAACATTGTTTTTAGGTCCAAGAGGATTATCAACCCCGTCGGCGATGCTGGCTTCTCTGCTTAGTAGAAGAGCCAAGCTTCAAGAAGAGCTTCGAAACATCGAAAGACAAGTAATTTCATCCTTTTCTTTCGTCTTTTCCCCCAAATGTTTTCGAATTTGATTATATTTCATATTCGTATTTCTGCTTTTGAATATTGTGGAAAGTTGAATGCAGGTGTATGATATGGAGACAAGTTATTTACAAGATCCAACGCAATGCGGCAACGTTTTGAAAAGCTTTGAGGGGTTCCTCTCTTCATCTAAGAACACTGCGCTGTATGGAATACCTGTTTTTTGCTCTTTGATGTAAATGCTTTATTTCTCATTATGTATGTTTAGGATTTACCAAAGGGTAAAACTTGATCTGGAGACTGAGAGTGTAGAGTCTGTTAGATGTGTATTTCTTAAGGACTCTGCAGTTTAGCTGAATTTCTCACCTTTTTAAAGTTCCATTCTGAGTCATAGTCTGAAATTCAAACAAATTCAGTTCAATGCAAACTTGTCTTATGGATTTGTATATTATGTGTGAGCCATGTATTGAACTTGTCTTGCAGATTGAAACGGTCCAGGAAGTTCCAGCCTGAAGATAGGTTATTCTCATTATCTTCGGTCACTTCACCTGCAGTGCGTATTCTTAATTAATTTTCCCTCTTTTTCCTCTTCTTCTTTTCTTGTTTGTTTGCGTATTTACTTCTTGTCCATTTCTAATGAAGTGAATTATGAGGTGGGTTTTTTCAAGTGCTGGCACAGAACCAATGCTCACTTGAAAATGTGTTTTCCTACAACTAAAGTGTAGGCAATGTCGAACGGATTGCGATTCTGTTATATAGAGTTGCATGTGAATTATGAAGCACCTTTGACCAATAATAGGATGATGAGATGGTGTTTGCTTATTATCTATCACATATTGTTTTTATTGTTCTCTTTGGTGGAGAGAGGGGTGTCCTCATTTCACAAGAGCTTGTATCATTTTGTATTCAATTGCATACTCAGCTACAGATTGCGTTACAACCATTCTAGTATCTGCAGAGAAGCTCATGAACTGAATGCAACTTTATGCAAGAATCATGTTGCTATTGCTGCAAATAAAAGCACCAAAGATTGCATGCCCTTATAGGCTGAAGCCTTTCTGACACTTCTCAAGTATATGAATCGAAATGAATGCATTGCTTCCTTTTCTACAGAAATCCTGCCAAATCTTTCCCAACTAACACTAGCAAAGGCTGTGATCTTAAAGCCATTGTCAAAAAACAGCTCCTCCAGACATGGCATCTCTTTGTTTAGTAGCAATGGATGTTTTAACCATATCTATGACTACCTTTATAGGGGAATAACTCTCCATGGATTTCATAAAAGATGAAATTCTCAGTAAAATAGTTGTTTTATGTTTACAGCTTAATGCAGCTAATTTTCATTGACTTTAAAGCAGTGACTGGTGCCTACAACTTAATTTTTCTCTCACAATTTTGTTCACTAGGAGGTTTTTCAAACTGATTTTTTCTTCTGTTGTTTATTTTGTCAGGCTGAAGACATTGCTGCTGGTAGAGATGGTAAGCCTATAAAATACAAATGCATTTTTAGATTTCCTTTCTTGATGTTTATTGTTTGTTATTCCTATGCGTTTAGCAGATGGGAAATCAGACCATGGTCCTGGGCGGTATAAGGGTGGAGGTTACTTCGCCAATGGGCAGTAAGTGTATTAACTTTGTATCCATTCTGAATATTGTTTTGCAAAAATTACCTTGGTCTGAAATGCTCGGAAAACAAGGATGATATATCCTGCAAACACTAAAAATATAAAACTTTTGTCTGCGAATTCTTTAGAGGAAAACCAAAGAAGGGAAGAGCTAGAGATGCAAAGAGAATGAGGCATTCTAGTGAACCAGATTTTGACTATGATGATGATCCTGATGTGACATTGTGAAACTACTTGGATCTGATGAAATGCTTCAAGGCCTTTCCTTTGAGATTCCATGTCCAATCTTTAGATTGTTTGTCTCAAAACAATCAGTGATGGCAGAGGTTATTTACAGGATTTTGAAGTGTACCAAAAAAAGAAAAAGGCTTTTTTTATTTTTCATAGTGCTCAAATGGAATCAGGGGTACATATGATCACTATGTTAAATTGCAGTGTAAATGAACCTGTACAGTGAAAAGCTCCTGGTCAAGTTCAGGCAACAAGTTTCTTCTCTTTTTTATTTTAATCAGCATTTTAATTAAGGTTATATATGCTTTGGATTCTTAATTTAAAACTGTAAGGATGAGGTTGGCATTGTGTTTGGATGTTTAGGGAAACTCGCTTTGCAGTAAAGTAAAATGCAAAATGATGCACTGATCGTGGGCTGAACCTAAGCCGAATTAGCTAATTAGGGTCAAAGCAGGGGCTGAACGTAAGATGAATTCCGTAGCACATGACAGTGAAACGACGACGTTTTCGGACATTACTTTTTATTACGAATTTAATATTAAAAAAACTAAAGGAAACAATTTTAGCATTTTGTTTTGTATATGTGAAAAATATTGAATTGTGCAAGTTTAGTAAATACTGACCTAGAAGATATATTTTTTAAAAAAGTTATAAACTTTGTTAATATTTTTAACCATAACCAAATAGGTTGAAATACAAACTTCTAAAGTATTATAATTATGAATTTATATTTAATGCATTGTCAATTTATAAATTATATATATTATCAGTAAACTAAATTATATCACGTCATTAATAAGATTTTTTTTTAAAATATCAAAGTTTGTATATTTATTTTAAAAGATTTTTTATAAAAAGACAACTACAAAAAAAAATTACAATTTTAATCAAATATTATATCTATATATTAAAAATCATCGAATATTCAACTAACAAATTATAACATAATTAAATAAATTTAGTATATTTATTTTAAAAATTTTTGTTTACTTATTAATAATGTGATATTATATATTTTATTAATGCTATATAAAATTTATATCTTAATAATGTATTAAATATAAAATTATACAATTTATGTTTACTTATTAATAAGTCGTCATCAATTGCATTCAGCTAAGAAAAGGAGGAATTAAATACTACTACCAGTAGTACTAATTTATAAAAGACAGCAGCCATCCTGGTAAAGATATCGGTATGCTTTTTGCGCCCCCCCCCCCCCCCCCTTTTTTTTTTGTAGTATTTGTCTTTTGTATAAATTTCAGATGATTATAGCACGTTTTCAAGGGAATAAATTATACGAAATTATTTAAGTGAAGTTGGTGAAATGTTTTATGAAAAATATTTTAATAAATATTTTAATCAGAAAATTTCTGTCAATTGAAATTATAGGCAAAAAAAAAAAAAAGGTGTAGCCATAGCGGCTGGTTCAACTTTATTCGGGGCTGAACTAAAATATTTAGTAGGGCAAATGGCATTAATTCATTTATGGAATGTGTAATTATTTTCTTTTTAATTAAAAGCCGAAGTTTTCTACCAAAATTTTGAAATGCAAGTTCCAACATATTCATCGTGTGGTATTATAAATTTTTAATTTTTTTTTTATATTTGAGATAGTCATGATTTTATTTTTAATTATTGAAATTAAAATTTTAATATTTTAACAATCCATCACATTATTATTATTATTATAAATCTTCAAATAAAGAAATTATTATAATAACATTCGAGGTCATGCATTTTTTAGCTAGAAATAGAGAATAAATTTAAGTTTAAAATTTAACTAATTAATTATTTTATATAATCATTTTTATAAAATAACATTTAACAAATTTAAAATTTATATCTTAACATTTACGAATCTTTTTTATTTGTAATTTGCAGTCTCCTATATATAAAAAATGTAGAAAGTACATCAAATAGAAAATAAGCTAAATGCCATAAAATTTTAGGTATATTTTTGCAGCCTGAAATGTCTTTTAAGTAATATTTAGATAAATATTAATAAATTTTTTTAAAAAAAAAATATATCTACCCCTTATTTGAATAATTAAAATTAATAAAAAAAAATTTTAACAATATTTGTTTGAATAAAAATTTAAAAAAACGATTCATTATAATATTTTTTTAAATTATAATATTTCATTATTTGTGATTTTAAAGTATTTCTAGATATAATAGTTTTTTTATAAAAATAAAATTTTTCAACTTTCCTTTCATTAGTTTTTTCCCCAAATTGATATATTAAAAAAGTGAAAATTACAAGAAAAATTAAAAGTTATTGAGTTTTCACCTTTTTTTTTTTAAATTAAAAGTTTATCTAAAAAAAAAAAGATTTTTCTGTTTTGATTACTTTTTTTTTTTATTTTTCTTTTTTCTCTCCTCGCAATCCAAATATGATGTTAGAATACTATTTTGTTTATTCTTTCTTTTTGGATTTGAAATATTCGATATTCGATAATTACTTTAAATCTTGACTATTTTAAAATCAAATTAAGCTGGACCTTATAAGGGAGTAAATTCTCTCTATACTTATTTTTTTTATTTATAAAATTTAAAATCAAAATCTTACTTAAAAGAAAATTGAGCTCGTTACTATTTGAACTAACAACCTTGGTATTTGTTTGTTTTTTTCTCAAAATCTTATGCCTTTCCATTAGAATATATATATATATATATATATATATATATATATATATAATGAGAATAATATTGGGGATAAGCACTCTAAAGATCATGACCCAGACAACCGGGGATAGCTATATCACTTATCAGGTCTGCTCTGTGCCCTTTTTGTATGTTTTCTCTACTATTTCCCCAAATTTTATTGTATTTTTAATATATACCATATCTTAAATAATTTGTTCATTTTCAGTCAAATGGATTAATCATTATATTTTTCGCTTTTATTATTTTTCAATAATTATTGACGAAGTAAAAAGTAAATAACAAAAAACGAGTGATTAAAGTAAATAACAAAATGAAGTCTAAATAAACCATCGGAATTCATTAATAGAATCTTTGCTCGTTAAAATTATCGTAAAATCTTTTTTTATCTTTTAAATTATAATTTTAATTCAAGTTCGAAACTCTCATTTTTTTAATCAATTTCAATATTATTGAACTAATAGCTATCCCTTAAAATCACAAATTAACATTCATGTTTCATAATTTCAATTCAAATTATGACTGAAATTATTTAGTAAATTACACTAAAATTTTGATTAATTATGATATACATTAAAATTTATTTATAATACTCCTTTACTCCAATCTATAAGATCACTATTACTTCGGATACCCATTAATTAATCTATAATTAATCTAAAGCTAGCATGCATGCATGGGTAAAAAGGGTTTCGGTCCTTTTGCATTAAAATAAAAAGATTGAGGTCGAATTAATGTATTGTCGAGTTAATTTGACCATCATATAAAAGCAAACACTTGATAAATCCCGTTGATTATGTGGTTGAAGCATGTCAAGATTTTAATAGAAAGGGCTATTGTCGGTTGCTTTTTCTTTACCCATGAAAAATTGCTCAATCATGCATGTTAGAAATTTGTAAAGCTAGCTAGCTCCATCAATCAGTCCCCTTCAAAATCTTATTTAATATATATATAAAAAAAAATACCATGCATGCTTTAAATATTACCCCACAGGGCCTCGGTAAAGAAGCTGACGATGATGATGATCAAGTCAATATTTAAGATTATGGTGGGCTGAACAAAATCAGCCATTTTCAAGTCTTCAGACGTCAATAGTCGTATATTTGATCGGTATAGTATTGCTCTAGATTTAAATTTTGAAAATTTCAATTAAAAACTTTTCGTACTATTAACTAGGTAAATATTATTAAATTAAATTAAATACTCCTTTATTTAAAGAAGATAAAAAAGTTAATGATTTATTTTGAAAAAGCATTTCGGATTTTTAGATTTTAAAATGCAAAATAATTTTTAAAAAAATAATATTAAAGAAAAATGTATAATTTATGAGTTTTGTTTATGTAATAGAAGATTTTTTTTGTTTGCTTTAAAATATATAAGATTATCTAATAAATTTTTTACTATATTATTTTTAATACGTAAATAACATGTGATATTCACAATACGTTATACGTGAATAATAAGTTATTTTCATTAAAATTAAAGAATTTTGAAAATTTTTTTCATATATTCAACAAACTTAATTTTACAATCTTAATTACTATTCTTATGTTTATTGTCTTTATGCAAAGAAAATACGCGAATTGATCTTTGTAATAAGATTGACTTGAAGATTGAAAGAGAGTAGCAAATCCGCCAGGAGTTTTACATGGAACAAATTTCATAAATAATAATATTAAGTAAATACATTTTAAATTTTATATGTAACAAAATTAAATAAAAATATTTTACATTTTATTTTAATTTTATTATGAATAGCAACATCCACTGCATTTTTTATCTTAAAAATATGGCCTTCATTAAAATTTTAAATTTTTGAAAATAAAATTTTAACATTCAATACTTTTTTTATTTTACAAATATGATCTTTGTTAAAATTTTAAAATTTCAAAAATAAAGTTTCAATTTTCACTACGTGTCTTATTTTAAAAACACAATCTTTACTAAAATTTTAAATTTTTAAAATTAAAGTTTCAACATCCACTACATTTTTTTTATCTTAAAAACGTAATTTTTGTTAAAATTTTAAGTTTTTGAAAATAAAATTTCAACATTCACTACAATTTTTTATCTTAAAAATGTAATTTTTGTTAAAATTTCAAGTTTTTGAAAATAAAATTTCAACATCCACTACACTTTTTATGCTCAAAACACGATATTTGTTAAAATTCCTAAATTTGTAAAATAAAGTTTCAAAATCCACTATGTTTCTTATCTTAAAAATGTAATTTTTATTAAAATTTCAAAATTTCGAAAATAAAATTTTAGCATCCACCGTGTTTGTTATCTTAAAAACGTAATTTTTATTAAAATTCTAAAATTTTGAAAAAAAAAAAAAAACACTACAGGAATAGAGTTTTTAATGAAAGTTACAACAACTCACACTAAAAGTTCATATAATCCACACTCATTCTTTTAGTGAGAGTTAATGTGACTCTCATAAACTCTTGCTATAAGTTCTCTCGTTAATTATATATTATGAGAGATAACATGACTCTCGCTATAACTTTTATTTAGTAAGGGTTAAAAGACCCTCACTAAATGAAAATAATTAGTGAAAGTTAATTTAGATCTATCACAAAATGTAAAACTTATAATGAAGATCAATTTTGAGTCTGATTATATCTTTTACC